GTGGGCAGGGACGAGTCGGCGAGTGGTGGGGTGCGTATTGGGAGAAGTTGTTGGAGACGAATGGCATGCAACAAACTCTTGTGGTGTTGCTTTGGTGTGGAGGGTTTAGGGTTTAGGGTTTAGGGTTTAGGGTTTAGGGTTTAGGGTTTGTGGGCAGGGACGAGTCGGCGAGTGGTGGGGTGCGTATTGGGAGAAGTTGTTGGAGACGAATGGCATGCAACAAACTCTTGTGGTGTTGCTTTGGTGTGGAGGGTTTAGGGTTTAGGGTTTAGGGTTTAGGGTTTAGGGTTTAGGGTTTGTGGGCAGGGACGAGTCGGCGAGTGGTGGGGTGCGTATTGGGAGAAGTTGTTGGAGACGAATGGCATGCAACAAACTCTTTTGCTGTTCCTTTCGAAGAAGATCCCAAAGACCCTAATGTGTGGTTTCTGGACTGCGACTACCTCGAACAGCTCTTCATCATGTTCAAAAAAGTAGGTTTTAGGGTTTAGGGTTTAGGGTTTAGGGTTTGGGGTTTGGGTTTGGTGGAGGGGCTGGGCTTGGGGTTGAGGGTTCTGGGTTCGGGTTGGGGTTTACGGTTGAGGGTTTGACCGCTGGGATTGGGTTTAGGGTTTAGGGTTTAGGGTTTAGGAGTTGGGGTTGGTGGAGGGGCTGTGCTCGGGGTTTAGGGTTTAGGGTTTAACCGTTTTAGTTCGGTTTAGGGTTGAGGGTTTAGGGTTTAGGGTTTAGGGTGTTGAAGCGCCACGCGGGATGGCTGCTGCAGCAGCTAAAACAGCGTCAGCAGCAGGGTATTACAGTTGCAGCAGCAGCACAAACTGCTGCTGCTGCTGCTGCAGCTGCAGCCGCTGCTTCCTCCCAACTGCCGTTGCTGCTGCTGCTGCTGCTTCACCACAAGAGCTGCTGCTGCTACTGCTGCTGCTTCCTCCCAACTGCTGCTCCTGCCGCTGCTGCTTCACCCCAACTGCTGCCGCTGTTGCCGCTGCTGCCGCTGCTGCTGCTGCTGCTGCTGCTGCTGCAGGTGAACACAATGGAGCGGATCCTGGGGTGGTACAGCACGGGGACTGCAGCAAAACCCCAGGACCTTCAAATCCACGAAATCTTTCGAAAACATACTCCAAACCCTTTCTACCTTCTCGTCGACGTCGAGCCCAAGGTCCCGCAGCTAGCTAGCTAGTTAGCTAGCCAGCTAGCTAGCTGAGTGGCTAGCCAGCTAATCAGCTAGCTGAGTGGCTAGCTAGCTAGCTCGCTAGCCAGCTAGCTAGCTGAGTGGCTAGTTAGCTAGCTGAGTGGCTGGCTAGCCAACCAGCTAGCTGAGTAGCTAGCTAGCTAGCTGAGTACCTAGCTAGCTAGCTGAGTGGCGAGATAGGTGGCTGAGTGGCTACATAGCTAGCTGCGTGGCTAGATAGCTAGCTGGCTAGCCGGCTAGCTAAGAAACCAACTGGCAGGCTAACTAGCTAGCTGGCTAGCTAAGCAGCTAGGTAGCTAGCCACATAGCTAGCCACTTACGCTCGTATCAAGCAGTTTAGCCATCTAGCTAGCTATGCACCTAGCTAGCTAACTAGCTAGCTAGCTAGCTAGATAGCTAGCTACCCACCTAGCTAGCTAGCTAGCTAGCTAGATAGCTAGCTACCCACCTAGCTAGCTAACTAGCTAGCTAGCTAGCTAGCCAGTTAGCTGGCTGCCAGTCAGCTAGCCACTTAGGTCGAAATGTATCTTCAGGGTTTAGGGTTTAGTGTTTACAGTTAAGGGCCTAGGGTTTAGTGTCTACGGCTTACGGTTTAATATCCAGGGTTTAGGATTTAGGGTTTAGTGTTTAGGGTTTGCGCGCAGGACATGGTGGTGCCGGCGAAGGCTTACTGCACAATTGAAGAGCCAACGAACTCGAAGGCCTTTAGAAAGTCTTTTGTTTATGTTCCTTGCACAATTGGTAGATAAATAAATAAATGAATAAACAAATAAATAAATAAATAAGTTAGATTGTTAATTAACTGATTGGTTTCATCATTTGGTTTTTTGTTTTTTCTTTTTTTGTGCGACCTTTTTGCCTGTTGCTGCTGGGCTGAGGGTTTAGGGTTTAGGGTTTAGCGTCTGTGGGTTTATCTTATCTTTGCTCCGATTTGCTGAACCACTCATGCCTCTCGCTCCATCTTAGCAGCAGCAGCAACAGCAGCACCAGCAGCAGCAGCAGCAGGTTTGTGTTGCTGCCGTTTCTTTAGGGGCTTATGAGGCTGAAGAGGTTGGAGTTGAGCATCTTCTAAGAGACACTAAAAACGCATCCACTTCGACACTCGCAACAAAAGTAATTGCTGCTGCTGCTGCTGCTGCTGCTGCTGTTTGGTGCCTGCTGCTGCTGCTGCTGCTGGTTGTTCGGTGGCTGCTGCTGCGGCGGTTTGACCGCTGCTGCTGCAGCACCGTCTGCAGCTGCGTGGCTGGTCCAGCAGCACGCTGCTCCGCTCGCTGCTGCTGCTGCTGCAGCAGCAGCAAAGCAGCAGCAGCAGCAGTGAATGGTGCTGCTGCTGCTGCTGCGACTTGTGCAGGTGGAAGACAAACTAGAAACGATGAAGATCTTGGCGAGGAAGTTAAAAGATGTTGCAGATTATTTAAATGATGTTGCAGCAGAGAAGCTGCGGGCAAACCCCACCATCATTTACACTGTGCAAGTAAATAATAAATAAATAAATAAATAAATAAATAAATAAATAAATAATAAAATCAATTGTGAAGATTGTTGTGGAGGGAGCGAAGAAGAAGTGGATTTGAACTGGAGAGTGGAGGAGGTTTTGCGCACCACGCTAATTAGGGTTTAGGGTTTAGGGTTTAGGGTTTAGGGTTTTTGCTGCAGGAGATCTTCAATTTGCTGCCGGACACTTCTCGCCCCGAACTGGTTAAAGCCTTTGCGACGCAAACTAACGACAGCATGATGACGCTTTACCTTGGTAATTAGGGTTTAGGGTTTAGGGTTTAGGGTTTACGGTTAAAGTAAAAGTGTATTAAAGGTGGGCTTCTGGGGATTGCAGAGCCCGCGGCGGATTACTAGATGTAGCTGAGGGCTTAGGGCTCGGGGTTTAGGGTTTAGGGTTTAGGGTTTGTGTTGCAGCTAGTGTTGTTCGCTCGGTGTTGGCGCTGCACAACTTGATTGACAACAAGATCCGAAACAAGAGAGATGCGGAGCTGAAGGAGAAGGTTAGGGTTTAGGGTTTAGGGTTTAGGGTTTAGGGTTTGGGGTACACCTGCGGGCAGTCGCTGTGAACAGCTAGGATTTAGTGTTTGGGTTTTGAAGTTTAGGGTTGGAGACGCACTTGAGCGAGTCGTCATCTTTGTGTGCGAGCTAGAGTCTAGGGTTTGGGGTTTAGGGTTTAGGGTTTAGGGTTTATTGCATTTTAGGAATCGGCAACGGCTGAGGAGGAGAAGCACAAAAAGGCAGAGGCGGAGACGCGGGCGTGAGCGCAGCGCATGCATGCAAAGCCCCAATGCTGCTGCTGCTGCAGCAGCTGCAGCAGCTGCAGCAGCAGCCGCTGCAGCAGCAGCAG